AGTTCCTTCCTAGGGGATTCAATACGTGGGGAAGAATTTGCAAGAGGCTCTTGCTGCCCTTTGTTTGTATTGGAACATTTTGGCAAAGACCATGAACTTTCAGGGTTTAAAGCCACTTATAACAGTTTATCTCTGTAGAAACCTATCATTAAAGCTGTTGATAGCAGGGCTTGAGCTATCCCAGGAGACGATCCGTTTCCACCTTCTTTCCATTTTGGATTTTACCTTCTGTGACTGAATTTCATAGTAGGTGTGTTTTGCAACTTCTTTATGATCCAACTTCTTTGTGCTTTCCCTTCTAGCTCCTTTTTCTATGTAAGAAAAGAGGAACTCTTATTTTTAAAAAATTGAGTTTTTGGCAAGCCCATCTTTGACTATTGTACCAGGAAGTACCAATGATTTTCATGCCCCTTCAATTCAGAGAATTTCAGCAGGATGACCAGTGCATAACAAAAACTTGGTTGATTCATTCTAAGCTATGCAGGGTTGCTTTAAAATTGTCAGTTAAAGTGTCAATAACAGTAAGAGAACAAGACTTTTGCAGAGTGATTCAGAAGGGATGGGCTATAATGGGTGGCATGAGAGAATGATGTTTCAGTCACTACCTATAGCAAATCCTGTGAAGTAATACAAGCGCCCCTGATCTCCCTGCCTCCTGGAAGAACACTGATAAGTTTGCATAGCCAAACACTCTGTGGTTAGGTAATTCCCACCATTAAGAATGCCTACTGAACTTTAATTTGGCCCCTCACATGTCCACATGATGATAGTCTTCAATTATATCATCTCTTAAAGTTTTTTTCTGTCAGTGTCTCATCTCTTGCAGTACATACAATGAACAGCTTTCAATTCATGAGCACCAGTTGAATGTTTTGCTTCTTTCCTGATAGCTGCATGTACAGTCCCGTGTATTATTTGCTGTAAACTATCCCAACCCAACAGAATTTCTTATTTTTCTCATGAGTTTTCCTGTCACACTTTTTACTGTAGTATCTAAGTATATTATAGTATCTAGGTATATTTACATACTACTCCTATGAGATGACAGGGTGTAGGACCCATTTTGAGAAGATGAATGCAAGGCACAGAGATTAAGGTTAAAGTAATTAATTAATTCTGAATATCTAATCTGAGACGTCTAGGACTTGTCTCTGTACCCACCCCCGGAACGCACAGTATTCTGTAGCATTTTGTCTGTTCACAACACGATACCCCCTTGCCTTTAGTTTTAGTTCTGAGTGCTCAACACTTCTGCAGATTGGACCATAGGGCCTCAAGTCAGGCACCACAGAACAAGGAGCAAGTGATCAGTGGCTGTCCATGGAAGTTTGGTTTCAGTGAGTTGTCCAGCACAGCATAGCCATTCTGGTAGAGACAGGGATCCAGTCCAGTTCTTTAGGAGAGCATTCATTTGTCTTAACCAGAACACCATGCTTTCTCTTGTATTGCGCTGCCTCATTCCATTTTCAAGCTTCTGTGACAAATGAGACTGGGGCCCTACAGTTTCCTGTGACTGTACTGTCCCTATTCATCCTTACATCAGGTCCATGGTCTGCACTGGAAGAAGCAGTTTCCCTGTAATTACAGCCACATCTTTGTGCATATGCACAAGGGAACAGAATTTGGGTTGCACTGGTGAAGCTGAGCTCTGGCATTTTCCGTTTTTTCCCTGTTTGCTTTTGCAGCCTTTAATGTGCTTGCCAAGTCTTGCTTTTTGGAACTTTCTAGATTATCAAAAAGTAGACGGAAAAAACTGACGTGCTGCAGTGTGGCATCATCATAAATCTACAGTTACTGGAAGGCTTTGGCAACGTGTAGGGGGTGCACATGCACCCCCTGAGCGTGATGGTACACCCCCTGGGAAAAGGCACTGCTGACACTGCTGGTGGCACCTGCAGGCAATTGCTGCTTGCCACCCTCCTCCCTCCCTCACCACCAACACTGCTGGTGATGTCTGTAGGTGGTCCGCGATCGCTGCCGGCTGCTGCCGCCACTGCCAGCTGCATCTGCAGGTGGTCACTGACCGCTGGTCGGTGCTTGCCAGCACCT